TATTTTAAAGGAAAGCAGTACAGGGCTGTTGGTGGCAACTGCAGCCGCAAAACTGTTGGATTACTTCGCTATTCTACGTTTTGAAAACTACGAGTGGATAAATATTGTAAATCACATTTAACTTTTGTAAAGTTATTGCATTCTTTAATGTTAGACTTATTTTTAGAATTCAGATTAAGAAGTTTCCATATTAAAAACTCTATGTAAAAAACTGAAACAAAAAAAAATTACAGGCTTTACCAGTGGTATTTCTCGGTCATTTTGACGTTAAGTATTTGAGGTTATAAGATCTTACATCGATGTTTACCTGTAGGTGAAAATGTTTCATACCCCTGAGAAACGTTAATGGAATGTTTACGGCATGCCGCAGGTTGCCAGCTTTTGCAAAGGATTTACGATATATCGCGATATTGCTCTCAAAGGGACACATTTACTTACACTAAACTATAAATCAAGTTTAAGAAGGTGGTACATACGAAATTTCCACATATCAAAATCACCAAGGGTTAATAGTATTTCGGTTTACAGATTTAAATAACTTTATAATTTTTCTGACACTTTTGAAAAGCACATAAAAACATGTTCTAGCCACAGTTATTAAGAAATTCAACAATATGTTTTTATGATATGAAAATTCAATTTTAAAATTAGCAATTATAACTTATCGTAGTATATTAGAAGCTATAAAATTGTACTCAATATAGGAACAGTAACGTCTTCCCTTTGATAACGCTATAATCTTGCTTTAAATCGTAACAGTTCCTTTCTGAATACTCTCCTTTACTTTGTTGCGCGCCTTTAGCTTGAATTTATCGTTTTAGCGCGGCTTATCGCGTACTAACCCTATTGTTCTTGTTAACTAATTTGATTTAACGATAATGAAAATTACTTTGCGATCAAGTACACTGTATTCAGATACGACTGTCTTCTATTCTATTCTCACATTTGAAGTGGAATCTTAAATCTCTTTGTTAAATTCTGCAAAACAAAAGACGATTTTTGAATTTTCACACGCGATTCGTTTTGTTTCGTGAATACCAGGATATGTTCAACTTATATGGTGAAATAATTTTTTTCCATCGTCTTTCTTTTAAACCGATTTAACTATGATATATTACTGCATGATCTACCGCTGAAAAATTAAGCTTCTATTTATTAACATAAAATTTCACAATTTCCTCTGCAATCTTGATCAAATTTTAACATAAAACATATATAGAAACCGAAATAGTTTTTATTTTATCATTACAATCTTTCCCTACTCAAGTTTATAGAGGGGTTTTCCATCGTTGAGGCACAGTAGAATTGTGCGGAATGCTTAAAAGCTTTCCAACTATTCAGTTGCCGAACTTTATTTAAAATTTAAATATTGTTACGTTGTATTTTCGTGTAAAAGGTATACGGCGTTATGTATTTTTAGAAAATATCCTATTTCATTGTGAAATATTTCCCTTGGGGTTTTGAATTACCCTTGACCCTCTCAATTATCTTACATTAGTTACTGTTCAAATTCTGTAAATAGTTTGAATTTCGTTAAGAAGATTTAATACTAAAAACTAATTTGCGATTAATCAGATACCTTTATAACCTTTTTTGCGTAAGTTAATTTGATAGAAACTTACGTAGTAATTTTACAAATTTCCCTCTTATATAATTTATCCGCAGAAAACTTTTAATATCAGGACAGGAATGAATATTTTTAATAGGGTTGCGTTGGCAGTGGTTGGATCAATCAAGCGCGCCAATAGGTACTCCTCCACAGAGGTGAAGAGGCAATCGATGTTCGTTAGCTTTTCATTGAAAATCGAATTCATAAAAAATGGCATTTGTAACCATATAACTTTTAGTACGATTTAATATAAAAAAACACTAGTAATGATACATTTTTAAAATTCATTTTAACTAAATTTTAAATAACAATGTAAACTATTGTATTAAGGAGTTTTATTAAAAACCCTTTCGCATTGTTTTGTTAGAACACTTCGTATTTGTTAAAATATAATTCAGAAAGATTTTGTATTTGGGTAGGAACAGTTTCTGTGGCATTGTTTCGCGATACTTTGCTATTTGCAGGCCCGCTCCGAGCCGAGTGGAACTTGCCAGCTCGAACTACAAAGCTTTAAAAGGAGTTTCTTATAAGATTGCTTCATCCATTGTATTTCCTTTATTCCGTAAAACTACGAAGATATTGGGTGGGTATTCTTTCTAAGTCGAACTTGTTCTTATATTTATTTCGTTGTTATATCTTATAGCTTTTAAATTCATACTTCAGGTCTTTACAATATAATTCTGTTGAGGGTCCCACCACTGACTGATAGAGGCTCAGTAAGCTTAAAAATGACGTCACTATCAGATAAGGTATTAAAATCCGATATTTCCGTCACATATTTTACACGTTTGATTATTATCAGACAATTTACAACTTACAATTTAAGGTTGGCCTGCCCGGCAAAGCAAAAAAGCTGACGAATTGATAACCTTCTTCTTTTGGAAAGTGGGTTAAAAAAATAAACAATATCCTTTGAGTGAACTATCCCAAACAATAATTGCAAACGCTGGCTGTATCAAGGGTGGTTCCCTCAGGTCCAGTGCTACTGCGGAAGTCAGTTTGACTAATTTTGGACAAGTGTTAGAACGGACCCTTTATTACGCAACGAGAAATCCCCATGAGATGAACTAATGTCGATGGGATTGCATTAACATCGAAAAGTATTTAGGTAACAGATAAGCAAATACCCAAAAAGAACGTTCCGTTTTACTTATCGACTTCTTACAATTAATTTCAAAAGCATTCATCAAAATACAATGCAAGAAAATTAATTTATGAAATACAAAAGTTCTAATGTGCAGAGCTTACAAGTTAGAATTTAATGAAATGTACTGTTAGTGAGGTTGCCTTGTGAAATCCCATTTAAATAAGCAATTTGCCCTGAAGCTGGAATAACTAATATCTGCAGCGGAAGGAAAGAAAATTTATTTTTATAATAAATAATGTTTAAAATCGACTCAACTTACAGACGCAATACAATACATTTGTACTTGAGCGGGTGCACACCTTTAACAAAACAATCGCACGACTTTTGTGTGATTGTCGATTATTTCGCAGCCAATTTAAAATCGAATAGAGTGAGCACCTCCCTATAACCTCATTGGAAACAAGCAAGACTAAACACTTGTGCCATATATTAATTGCATTTTCATTTGAAAATGAAATATTTAATATCTAGATATTTCTACTAATGGGACACACAACTAGATCATACTGTACGTATTTCTAAAAATCACTATTTTAAAAAGCATTATCACTCGTAGGTCCCTAATAAAAATCCTAAACAGCAACAATAATAATTTGCAAATATGGAATAATATACAATGAAAGTCTAATAACGAAATGCAAACGTTTACTCGCGCGACGTAATTGTATTCTTTGGAGAATTAAAGTGTAAAGTGCGACGGAGAGACTGTAAGTGTCTTTTACACTAGGGTAGATCAGCAGAGCAGTAGGGTTTAGTACTACTACTGTTCGAAACCACATTTACTGTGAAAAGAAGACAGTTTCGCCGTTGAGTTAAAAACAATAGTTGCTTTGAACTTGTACTGCTCTACATCACAGTTCTGCGTGTAAAACTGATGTTACGGAGCGTGAATAGGCAAGGGATTTGGATGGAATTACCACAGCGAGCTGTTATCAGCGACCGTCTGCGGCCGCCTCCGACACTGTACAAAATTACAATCACATTCAGCGCCAGTTGATTAGAGATTGTACACACATAGGCGGTGAATGAGAATTACTAGTGCAAATGAAATCGGTGTAATTAAGGTGCGTCGGGCGATTTCACTTATTTTCAATTACTTTTTAGTTCTTCGTTGAAATTAATTAATTGTTTTTTTACTCCTTTTTATGAGTACAAGACAACACTTAATAATACTTTTTACTGACTCACTTCGTAATATCGTAGTACATTGCAATAATATAAACTGTCTTGGAAAATACGAATTGCAGGTAAAATATAAACCTTCAATACACCTGCTTGGATTTAGCTTCGATTCTCAGTAGGAACGTAAGCCGTCGCCAGTGGCGTCCCTTGCGGTTGTTGGCCACACTCGATTACAATCTGTCTTTGGGATCTAGGTTTGCGCTCTGTGACTTCGTGCTGAAAGCATCTTTGCTCACGACAGTTCAATATCTTACCTCAACTATTCTTTCAATCGCGATTTTAGAACTGATTTTTCAATTTCCGGTAAAAAAATCGATGTAGTTAAAACATTATTTTATTAACACTTTTATATTTCTGTGTATCTAGCTTTTATAATTAGTAATTTGCCAGTATTAAAGGGTACGTTTATTATTGCACCACGACGTAATTACTAAGAATTTATTCAGTCATTGTAATGTTTTATAATGCAGGCAGCGTGGCGCAGGTGTTAAGCAACTTTCCAGAGTTGATTGTTACCCAATAAATTAATATTTCTGCTCGCGCGCATTCACAACGCCACATACATAATTTCGTATGAATTCCTTACGTTAATCACCTTTGTTCTTAAACATGAAAGTTATAATGATCAGTCTATGGTAACATTTGATTTGAATGTCTCACATAAATTAAATATAAAACAAATATGTTGAATATTTGAATAAAGGTGTTGTTTTAATGAATAAATCAGTCATTAATTAATCTCGTTGTTTGCAGAAATGCAAACATCATGTAGTTAGTGTTTATGTACCTATAAGTCCATCCTTTGTCGTACACAATGTTCCGTTGGGAAATCGACCTTCGCCCCTCTCCCCAGCCACCTAGCCCCGCCATACACGAGCTTAGGAGCTTTAACCGAAGCTTCCAACGGCGCCTAGCTTTAACTTTATAATTCTATTCACTAAGTTTTTAATCGGCTCTATTTAAAAAAAAACCTTTTTGCCTTCACTTACCGATCAAATACCTACCAAATAAAAAATATTTTAACCAAACGTAAGCTATTTTTAATATTTTAAAACCAAGACCAATTAGTGTTTGAAAATGTTACAACTTCTGTCACAGACATTTTTATATGGGGACTAGGATTTTATTTATTCAAGACTACTTTACTAAAAACAAAAAAGCACCATTTTAAAATGTGTAAACCGTTTTAGGTAGGGCCTGCAGCGAAGCGGAACGGTGTCGAGCGTACAGGGCGGCACGGGGCGGGGCGGACGTGAGGGGCGCGGAGGGCGCTTGTGAGCACCCTCGAGGAATGCTTGCAACAACCTGCCGGAGGAGGTCACTCGGAATGAGGTCACATTGACCTCTTGTTGATGTTAAACTAAACGTTTTCATTTCAAGTTAGGTCTGGTTTTTAAAAAAACTGCCGTAATTTACACGTGCTTTGCAGCATTTTGAAAAATATAACTTGCACAACTAGTATGCATTTTATTAATTTAGTTTAGCATCTTCTCGAATTTACCAAGAAATACTGGTTACTTTTTATTCCAAACAATAAATTCAAGATGGCTACGATATTGATCTTTGTTCCTAAAAAGAGATGGCGCTGTCGTTGGGGCTGAATGTGACTTGTCGTGTCAAATGACGCGGAAAGTGATAAAATGTTTCTGGAAGCACTATGTTCGAACGTTCCAATGTTTTACACCACATTTAGTAAATAAAATCTTTAGCATTTATCACATGTCTACACTTATTTTATATAGTTAAACACTTTAAGAAAAACACCTCTATCATCACAGACGTATAATTCGAAAAAGACGTAAACATTTTTATGCTAATTTCCCCATTTTCATGTCAAAAGACCAATGTTCGTAGTACAATTTAAATTGCTATTGTAATTTTATTTTTTGAATTATTTCGCTCGGTCAAGATGAAACAAAATTGTAAATTTCCCAAAGGGCCTCTTAAAACAATTGGATAGACGAAGTCACGAAGTGAAAAGTTAAAACAGACAAAAGAACCGAAAATAAAATCACTGGAAATAATAACGCCATAAACACAGAAAATTCTACTAAATAAATTATTATATTGTTAATTTTTACCTTCTTTCCTTTAGAGCATCTTTTTCACATTTATAATATCCATCAAACATTATTAACCATGTTTGGGAAAGAACAATAAACGTTTACGCAGATCCCTTCATCAATCAAGGCCGCGCCTTAATTAACTTTCTTCCAGTCAGTCACATCGCTGCTGCGAACAGCTGAGATGCCACAGTACTGAAGGGAAATTAATTGACTAATAAGTTACGGGGAACGGCAACGCTCTATCATATACGAAGGATAAAGAAACAGAGGGTATCGATAAAAATATTAATCTAATATTTTTTATCTGTTATACCTAAATGTTACTTTCTTATCCAATATAACCGAACTTTTAAATGTCTGTAAAAAGTCTGAAGAGTTTAATAATTTTGCTTGAAAAGGCAAAAGTGTTTTTAAATGTATTTATTAAGCTATGATAAATAAACAGACGTGTTTTCTAATAAGCATCCATTGTTCTAGTGTTCACGTTAACGCCTGGTGAAAATGTATTACATTGGTTTTGCGACTTTCAAAATAATTATGCCTATAATGTCTATTATGCACTAAATAGTTTTTTAACTAAGATTTACAAAATATTTTAATACAAATCAAGATATTGGAAAAGAAAATTTGATAGAAATTCACAAGATTGATCACATCGGTCAAGTCAACGCTGTCTTTTTGATATGGGTACGCAATCTCGCGGGACGTTGGCTGTTCGAAAAATAAAAATCTGTATTTGTATGACAAAAGGCGAACCTTAAAACCAATATATACGATAAATTGAAATCGAAACATATTTAACATCTAAGAACAATTTTTGTTATCTTAGGTTATATTCAAGTCTTCAAAAAAATATTTCGGTACGATCAAGAAAAAAGACGAAATCATGGAGGCGCCCTCGATCCATTTCTTCATTAATCTAAGAAATTTGTTGCATATTGTTCCATAATATAATAAAGTGACTTTTATTACTGGTCAGAGTACGAAGTCTAATATGAAATTTACTTGGGACCTATAAATGCAATTTTAATACATATTGTAACAAATGAGGCTAAAAATTTCACATCATATTTTAACACATTAAAAGTCTAAAAAAATCTCACAGTAAAAAGTCCTTTTTGTTTCATTACAACTCGGATTTTTTCCTCGGTGGTGGCGTAGGTGGGGGAGAAGGCGCTTTATAATATTTGTCGTAGATTTCATCCCAGAACAGAACACGTTGCTGTAGCAGTGGTCCCCGCAGTTTGATGAACTTGTCAATACGCATGTGAGGACCTCCGTTGGCTTTAGCTGGAGGCCAGTCGGGCAGGTCAGAGCCCTCTGGGATGGGTTTACTGAAAAAACATAAATAAGCTTACTAATTTAACGTTAATGACGAAGATGTTTTTTACCAAATTACAACATTAAATTTGTTTCAGACATTTCTACAGACAACTTACCCAGTTGTTATAAAGCTGGCCCACATTTTTCTCATCATCTGTTTCATACTCTTAAAATCTTCTGTAAGGTTTTCTTCAGAAGGGTCTAGGAGCAAGCCATCGAAAACTCCTAAACTCTGTGCGCAGTGATCAGCGCCTCGCAACTTTGTATGCAGTATATATGGCGCGGTCTCGTCCACAAAGTTGTATTGATACAAGTATATGTTAGTGTTGCCTGATTCAACTTGTAATCTCACTGATCTGACCGTACCGTAAGCGAAAAAAACATCGGTAAAATAATCAATATATATGAATATTGTTTCTTCATTAATCGGTTGGCCACCAAAATAGAACCTTTTCACTTTATCGGCGACCTTTTCTCTTTCTGCTTCAGTTTCAAACTGTAAATCGCCAGGTAAGTATTCTGAAAATTTGTCATTCATACCATCCTTCCACATGTCAAAGAACGCTATTCTTATCAATCCTTCCATTTCCGCGAATCCATAAAGCATAGGCACCTTGTGTTGCCTACCGTTCTTTAATATATTGAAAGGAGAGTCATTCAGAAACATCTCTTCACCGATATCACGTTCTACACAAGGTGTGAAAAGGAATGTCGAGTCTTTTTCAAACATAACATTAACGGAATGCAAGAGTTCTTTAGAAATCGTCTTGTAAAATTCTTCAAGTGCATAAACGTCGTTAACGTCGCCTGTAAAGTTTAACATCTTTGCGTATCTTTTAGCATTTTCTAGCGGATGTCCTTGAACACTGAACGCTGCTAGATTAGGTCCACTCTCTGGCACGACCTTGTTAAACAGTCCTTTAGTCGTCGGTGAGAGCATCAGAAGGTCTACTGCCGATGCTCCTGCACTGGCACCATTAATGGTTACATCTTCAGGATTTCCACCGAAACTAGCTATGTTTCTTTGAATCCAACGTAGTAAAGCTACCTGATCTTTCATACCTGCGTTACCCGGTGCGTCGGGTGTGCCTAAACATAGAAAACCATGGGGTCCTAGGCGATAATTAAAATTGACAATTATCATCGCCTTTTCCCTCATCAATTTTTTTGCTGTGGCAAAGTCACCGTAGCCAATTTGATATCCACCTCCGTGGACTTGGGCTAAAACTGGTAACTTATCTTGTTTTTTATCCGGTACGTAAATGTTAGCGACCAAGCAGTCCTCTACCTGAGTTCCATTCGGATGTACCATGTAAACACTATCCATTTGTGGGCAAACAATATTTCTATTAACCGCTTCAAATGGCTCTGACCAAGTAGGACCTG